ACCTCTAAATCATTTTTCTACCTTTTAGTGTTAATTCCTCTTGACTTATAATTACTCGTAATTGTCAAGATTATTTAACAAAATAGTTACGATCAATTTTTTTATACGTAACTCTCTTCGACAATTGCAATCTCCTACTGTTTTAGGTTAAATTGCAATTGACAAATGTTTGAATCATTGTTAAATTATTATAACACAAACTATTATAATATATGTGTAACGTTATTAAAATTTGAAAATAAAATTCACTACAATTGCGTCATTGTAGTAATTTTGTTCGAACTATTAAAAATTATTTTAAAAATTGAACATTGTATTTAATTTTATTGCATTCTTCATTTTTTTTATTTCTTGAAAGAATATTTTAAAAATAAAACGTCCCTTTGTTTTTTTAGTCTTTTGATTAAAAAACATTTACTTTTACCACTATTTTAAAAATAAGCAAAAAACATTACAAAATCAATTTATAACAAATTGAATTTTAACTTTATTGTTCACTATTTTTTTTCTTTCAATTTAGTAAAAAATCTATTAAAAAAATGAATCAATTTAAAAGGTTGATTTAGTTGACCTTTTATTTAATTCTAAATTTCCAAAAAAAAAGTGGTAATAGTTATTAACTTAATTACATTTAACTTTATTTTTATATTTATTTTAGAATCTAAAAAATCCAAAAACTACAATTTTTATTCACCTTTAATTAAAAGATAGGTGACATTAGTTTTAAATTCAATTTCATTTCTTATTACAAATCTAAGAATTCAAAAAAAGGAATCTATTTATTTTAAATATGAATCTTTATCTAAAAAACAAATATATATTTACTATTATTATTATTATTATTATTATTATTATTATTATTATTATTATTATTATTATTATTATTATTATTATTATTATTATTATTATTATTATTATTATATTTAAATGCATTTTTTATCCCTAAATTAATTTTTTTTAATATTATAGTCCCTTTAAAAAAAAATTCAACTTTTCGATCTCTATATTAAACATTTCTTGGATTTATGGTGGATAATGATAAATGTTGCTTTTGTTCTCAAGCGAAAATATGGGAGTGGATGAAGCTATGGAAATAATGTAATTAACATAAATATAGAAGAAAGAATTATATATATTGTTCATATTTGTAAATATATATAGTGTTAACATGGTATCAGAGGCTCGTTTAAGATCTGTTGGATCACCTTCTATGATTTTCGCTATCGGGCCACCCGCCATTATTTCTATGCTTCAGTTGTCCAGTCCTGAGCGCGAAGGGGTGTGTTAAGAGACACATCGGACAATATATGGCATGAATATGTGTTTATAAGTGGGGGCAATTCTCACTCTACTAACCGGTTTTGTAGGGTTGAGTTAGGCTCAACCACAATTTCTTAACATGTGATAGTGATCAGTAGGGAATACTCCAGTTGAAACAATATCTCTCGAAACAATTTCAGACAAAAGATCTTGGTAAACTTCGCTATTCTTGGGTATTGAAGCAGCTCAACCTAAAGATGGCTTGGTGATTTTTCAGCGGAAATATGCTATGGATATTTTGGAAGAATCAAGTCTGTTAAATGTTAAACCAGCCGATACTCCTATGGATCCAAGTGTTAAACTACTACCCAATCAAGGGGAGCCTCTATCTAACTCAGGAAGGTATAGGAGATTGGTTGGAAAGTTGAATTATCTCACAGTCACTCGTCCGAACATTTCTTTTGCAGTTAGTGTGGTAAGTCAATTCTTAAATTCCCCTTGTCAGGAACACATGGATGTTGTTATCCATATTCTGAGATACATCAAATGTGCTCCAAGAGAAGGTCTTGTGTATGAGGATAAATGACATAATCAGATAATTGGATATTCCGATGTTGATTGGGCAGGGACACCAATTGATAAACGATCCACATCTAGTATTCTGTACTTGTTGGAGTAAACCTTATATCCTGGAAAAGTAAGAAACAAAATGTAGTTGCAAGATCAAGCTCCAAGACAAAGTATAGGGTCATGGCAATGACAACATGTGAACTTATTTGGTTAAAATAGTTGCTCAAGGAACTTCAAATTGAAGAAGCAAGACCAATGACACTTATTTGTGATAATCAAGCTGCATTGCACACTGCTTCAAATCCAGTCTTCCATGAGAGGACTGAACATATTGAGATAGACTGTCATTTTGTCAGAGAGAAGATCGAGTCTGGCGACATCTTCACAAGCTTTGTCAACTCTAATTATTAATTGGCAGATGTGTTTACAAAATCCCTACGAAGCCCTAGAACTAATTATATATGTAATGATGTTGGTACATTTTACTTATATGCTCAAGCTTGAGGGAGAGTGTTGATATTTATAAATATATATAGTGTTAAGAATATTTGTATATAGAATAGTCTCACATCGACTATATCATGTAATTAGTTATAATCTATCTATATATAATAATGTCTCCGTAGTGCTTTTCAAAACACACGATTTATTCAAATGTCTCTTAGTCTTTTGTATTTTAACATATACTATTATTTATAAGGGATGAAAAAACATTAAGCTTAGGGAACATATGATTGAGTAGTGTCTTTTCCTAACTTTTTGTTGTGATTCTTTGTCCGTTAGTTTGTTTAGGGGCAGGATCCTTGCGATCGTCTTGTGTGTATTTATTTTTCGCTGATGATGTTCTTTTTGTAAAGGTTTCTAACTCCCGGGCACATATTATTTATGACATCTTGAATTTTTTTTCTTCTTCATGTTTTCTGGCCTTAAAGTGCATGTTATTAAATCAAAGGTGTTCTTCTTTGCTACCACTAAGAGAAGTAAAATATATTTAATTGTCTCCAACACAAGTATCAAGCAAACACTTACTATAGAGAAGTACTTGGATTTTTCTATGTTGCATGATCGTCTTCAACGCAAGGAATTTGAGTTCCTATAGAAGAAAATCTACCAGAGGTTAGAATCTTGGCAACATAAATTTGTTAAACAAGGATGATCATTTTACTTTGGTTAGATCTGTCCTAAAATACATCCCAAATTATTATATGTAATTTTATTGATAGAATAGCTAGGAATTTTGTGGAAAGGTAATTCAATCTCGGGTGTGCATCTCGTTTGCTGGAGTAAAATCACTAAGCTCAAAAAATTAGGTGGTCTTGGGATCTGAAAAGTAAGAGAGACCAATATTTCTATGTTGAATAAGTTGATTTGGGGTCTCCACCGGGATTATGATTCCTTATGGGTCCAGGTTTTGAAGCATAAGTACATCAGTGAGAAAATGTTCCTTAATATGAAAATAAAATTGGGATTAGTTACTTGAAATGCAATTATGAAAGCTTTATATGCTCTTAAAGATTGATTTGAATTTAGATTAAGGGATGTGAACTTCTTTTTCTAGTTTTCCAATTGGTCTAGGGTAGGGAGATTAACGGAGTTGATTCTCTATGTGGATATCCACGATCTGAAAATGCAAGTGAATAATATTTACTTGGGTAAGAATTGAAATTTCAATTCATAATATACTAATATTCCTTCGGTTGTTTGTGACTGCCTAAAAACGTTTTCCATTTGCTTGAATTCTCTAGTACCTAATATATTAATCTGGAAAGGAAATTCTGATGGAATCTATACTACTCAGGATGATTATAGCTAACTCAATAGACTTGAATTAATTCAGAATACAACACACAATAACTCTTGGAATTGAGTGGCAATTCCTTCTCATGAGAAGGTAAAATTCTCCTTTGAACAACTTTATATAAGTCCCTTTCTACGAGATTAATGTCGTATCATCGTGGTATGCTCCAGGCAAATCTGTGTCCTAGACACAATTAAGACGCTAAGATGACTCTATGCACGAGACACTATAATTTTCTACTCGCTTTTGAAAATTCATTGGCTTCTTGGACCCATTATTCTTTCAAGTAGATAGTATATATGATTGGATTAAACATGACATCAATAGTGGCTCTATCTTTTTGTCTGCTTGCTAGTGGTTATGGTTCGCTAGAAACAAATCGTGTCTTGCAAATGAAGTGGTGCTTCATATACTTTGAAACTCATCATAGTGAATTATGTTAATCTATTAGCTAAATATTTTCTCAAGCATAATCTGTCTCATCTGACGAGAACGATCAAGTGGAACGTACACAAGATAGTAATATAATTTTGAATGCTGATGATAATAACCTCAATAATCCCGATGTATCGGGATTTTGTGAATTGATTTGAAGTGCTTATGGTGCTTCGGTTCATGGTTTTGCAGGTAATATTGGTTATTCCAACATCCTTCATACTGAGTTGATGTCGTTATATCATGATTTGCATATGGCCTAGAAACTTGACATAAAAGACCTAGTGTGTTATTCTGACTTCAAATTTGCTATCGAGCTTATCTCAAAATCTGTTAATATTTGACATCACTATATCGCAATTATTCAGAATATTAAAGAACTTCTCTCTAGGAAATACCAAGTTCAAATATTTCATATATTTAAAGAGGAGAATGCTTTGTGTTGACTATATATCTAACAAAGCATGAGACTAATAATGATACAACATACCAATCTTTTACAGATCCTCCACTTTTCTACTAGCTAATAATAATGAGACTTTATTTTCTAAATGATTTTTGTTTTTTCATTTCCTTTTCCATTTGTACCAATCTCTACAGAATTTGATCTAGATAGTTTAATTTGCAACAAAGAATTCAAAAAAGAGATATTTCAACGATCCAAAAAGCCCATAAGTATAAGTTTAATTTTCCTACTTTGTTATATGTGTGATTTTCAAAGTAATTATGATTAAAATCAAATACTTCCATTTGAAATGCAATAATACTAATAGTTACTTTTACAAAAATCTGTGTGTTGCATTGCATAGAATACATATGGACTAAGTAAAGAAAATAAAAAAAAGTCCACTCAACATTATGATATAGAACAAGCCTTAAACAAAGTTACAGTTGCAAACTCTTGTTTCACTACATTGTATAAGCCAAAATAAGATCATTAAACCGGCATTTTCCTCAAAAGCTGCCCTTGCATGAAGCTGAAAAAAGAAACAAAGAAAATCAGTAAAAATGAATACAAAATCAGTAATTTTCTCTCTATATCTTTTGACTAAACGGTTAATTATGACTTAGTTCAAGTTGGTTATTATTGAGAAAAATAAATGTTAGTTAGAAAAATCACACATTGATTAGAAAATTAGATATTTGAGCATTTATAAGTGAGAGAACTCATACACCTATCATTTTAAGATTTTGGGTGAATATGTAATTTGTCTCTCACAAGATGTATTGCTCATAAAAAATACCCAATGAATATAAATGTTTCCTCATGTTGAACCCCCGAATTGATGACTTAACAATGGTATTAGATCCTAGTTCGATCCATCAAACACTTAGTGTGCGAACATGACTTCTGTCTCCAACGCAAGAATCCATGCAAATCTCTCAATTCTCGATGCAAAGAATTACGACAATTGGTGTAAACAAATGAATGTTATGTTTAGCTATCAAAATGTTTTTGAAGCGATCAAGAACAGAGTAATTCCACTTGTAGAAGATGCAACGGATGTACAACGACCTAAGCATAAGAGGAGAAGATGAAAGATTTTAAGGCACAAATTTTAATCCATTAATGTGTTCATGTGAATAGTTTCAAGAAAGCTGGTGATTGCGAATCATAGAAGCAACCGTGAGAAATCTTGAAGAAGACGTATGCAAAGGCTGACAAGGCGAAGGTTGTGAGGTTACAAACTCACAAAAGACAATTTGAGTTGATTCAAATGGAAGAGAACGAGACCATTAACGATTTTGCAACAAAAATTACTTGGTCGGTGAACAAAGTATAGGGGTAGGGAGAAACGTTCACGGAGCAATATGTTGTCGCAAAAATATACATTCTTTGATGTCAAAATTTGACAATGTGGTGGTTACATTGGGAAATCGAAGGATCTTGCAAAGATGAGCAAACAGGAGCTGCTAAGCTCTCTTAAAGCACATGAGTAAAGAACGTAGGAAAGAAATTTTGATAAGCTAAAGACGAAGATCACTTTGCAAGCTTATTTCAATGAGAGACATGAAGGCAAAGGGGAAGTGACCCATGAATAAAGGTAGAGGGAACTTTTATAATTTTGGCGGAAAAGAGTCTCAAGATTGCAAGAATTCAAAAATCCAAAAGGGTGAAAACAGTTGCAATAAGGCTACTGGATCAAACAGCAGTGTGCAATGCTATAATTGTCAAAGGCTTGGTCATTTTGCAAGAGAGTTCAATGCGACCATGAAGGAGCCTTAACAAGATGAAGATAGGGTTGCAAGACAAGAGTTTGATGATGAGAACACACTCTTAATCATGATAACAGAATTAGAACGCAACAAGAAAAGGTTGCAAGATTGCATCAACAGTGTGAAAAACACTGCAAAACTAAATTGTAACCGGTTGCAGTTTTATGCCAACCGGTTACATGTTGAAAAAAATGCAATGGTGACTTTGAAAGAAGCAATGTAGCGATCAATGGTATTTAGACTCCGTTTATTCAATGTATATGATAGGGAGAAAAGATTGGTTTGTTACAATCAATCGTGCTATGAAGAACAAGGTTAAGTTCGCGGATGATACCACTCTAGCGACGGAAGAGATTAGTGATATATTGATTAAGAGAAGGAATGATGGACTTTCTTTGATAAAGGATTTATTATATATTTCCGAAATCAAGTGTAATATTCTAAGTATTGGCCAATTACTTGAGAAGGATTACAAGATTTACATGGAGAACAAGACGTTACACATTATTGATGCAAAAGGAGTTTTGGCCCTAAAAGCTCTTATGACTCCCAATAGAACTTTCAAAATTGAGTTGAAGACTATGGAACATAGATGTCTTGCTATTGTGGCTAGTAGAGAAGAGTGGTTATGGAATTATATGGTTGGGCATCTCAACTTTAGAGATCTTAATGTCTTGCAAAGGTACAAGATTGTTACCGGACTTCCAATGATCAACATACCAGCTGAAGTTTGTGAATAATGTGTGTAAGTGAAGCAACATAAAGAAAAATTCAACAAGGATGAAAATTTAAGAACCAAGTGTCACATTGAGGTGGTGTACTTAAATGTGTGTGGATTGATGCAAGTTAATTCAATTGGTGACAAAAAATATTTTGTCACATTCATTGATGATCATAATAAAAAACTACGGACGTACCTAATCAAGAGAAAGGATGAGGTACTTGAAGTGTTTAAGAAGTTCAAGTCCATGGTTGAAAGGCAAAGCGATCACAAACTCAAAGTTCTAAAAACGGGTGGTGGAGGCGAATGTATCTCAATTTACTTCGGGAGGTTTTGCGATCAAGAGAAGTACATGAGGTAGTACCATCCTATACACCGCACCAAAATGGTATTGTCGAAAGGAAGAATCGATCGATCAGGAACATGGTGAGAAGCATGTTGAAAGGGAAGAAATTGACGAAAGATTTATGGGGAGAAACATTGTCCACAACTGCTTATTTGTTGAATAGATGTCCAACAAATAAGCTTGAAAAGATCACACCTGAGAAAGCATGGTTTGGATTTAAACCAAATTTGAGTCACTTGAGATTTTTTTTGTTCAATTGCATATCAACATGTGTCGCAATAGCTTAGAAAGAAGCTGGATGATAAGGGAGAATTGATGATTCTTGTAAGGTATCACTCCACCAGTGGTTACAAGTTGAGTGATGCATCAAACAAAAGGACTGTGATCAACCGAGACATTTTAATGAAATTAAAAAAATGCATATGTTCACCCTCAATTATAACTCTCTAATTCTCTCACTCTCTCCATATCCACACTCAATTATTCATCATTTTTCACCAACCTTGTGGTTCTCAAGTTACAAAATTTAGTATCATAGCCTGGTTCAAGAGATGGACGAACTTCATTACTTTGAAAGTTCTCCCTACATGGTGGTGCGTAGGGGGCATGTCCCGTTGAAAAAGTGTCGACAGTGGTGCAAGTGTATTGGATGAAAGAGCTTCCGCTTGAGGGGAGAACTGTGGATAGACTCACACTTGAAGGGGAGTGTTCAGAAAAACAAGTGAGTTGGAACTGTTGAGAAACAAGTGTGGGAAAGTCTCAAATTGATTAGAAAAGTAGCAACTTGAGCATTTATAAGTGAAAGAACCCATGCATCTATCACCTTAAAGTTTTGAGTAAGTATGTGGTATGTCTCTCACAATATGTATTTCTCATAAAGAAAATCTCCAATAAGTATAAATGCTCCCTCATGTTGAACCCCCGAATTGATGACCTAGAAGTAATATGTTGGTCGAGGTTGTTAAGAAGTTTGTTACAACTCAATAAACTACCAACACACTCTTTTATATTAAGGAGTTAAAATCAATTGTATCTTTCAAGCTTTTAATGATGAATCAAAGATTCTCGTCATTAAGTTTCAATATGGTATTAATTGTCTCCGTTCTTCTAATTTTTTGCTAGTTAATCCAACTTTTATCTTTTTCTTCCTCTTTACTCACCCTTCATTCAACTCAACAATGGCTTATGTTAATGGATCATCACATGTCTCGAAGAACTAAGCTTCACCTGAAGTAACAATTAATCTTTTGAAAGCTCATCATCTTTAAAAAATGGTTGAAATCTCTTAATCAAGCTGCTTGATCATAACTTTTTTCTATGAAATCAAAAAGTTGAAAGTGTGATTCTAACACAAACTTTATTGATATGTCGTAAACCCTAAAATTTCTCCCTTGTACAAAACAAATCCAAGTCGTCTCAATAATGGAGTATCAGAGGAATATGAAACATGGATTGTTCAAGATCTAAGTCTTGTTCATATTGATTATCTGAACAATCTTTGAATATGTGTTTCCTAGAGTTCTCACAAGCAACACTCGTATGACGTTTAAGACAAATGAGATTATGAAGGCTCGCCTGTGTCAATTATGCATAGAAATTAAATCTATTAAGAAGTTGAATAACTTAGCCTTTGAATTTGTTCTTCGAATCAAAGCTATTGTTGATTCTTTATTCTCAATTGGTGAACTAATTACTGAACATGGACAAATTGATGTAGTTCTTGGTTGAATTTTGGAGAAATACTTTATGTTTGTTATGGAGGTCTATGATCGCTCTGAGCCTCCCACGATGTATGCTATTTAAGCGCTTTTGTATGTTCAAGAACTTGAACTCGATATATTTATACAAGAGCTCATTGTCTCTAATGTCTCGATCTACTAACCTAGCTCATCATGAATCTGTATCTGGTCGCGGTGGTTATGGTTCTCATGGTCGTGGAAGAAATCATCATGGTTAGTGACAAGGTCACTATAGAGGAAGTTCTTCAAGACTCAAGACCAAATTTCCAACTCCGTAGGAAGTTGTTATGTTGTGCTTTAGTGTTGGCACAAATATGATGCATACTTCATCCCTCCTTCACTTCATCAAACACACAAGGTGTTTGAGATAATTATTATGACAATGATACCTCTCAAGCCAAAAGTGACTCTTTGCCTGGTCTTACAAAGTCAAACCCTACAATGATAGCTATCAAGTATCAATTTTCTTATATTGGGGAAATATCCTTACCGAATGAGTTAAAGTCCCAAACATAGTTTGCTAATTCAGGTGCTTTTCATAACTCACCTTCTATTGAATAAGTTCTATATAATAAAGTTCCCTACCTAAGAAATGATAAAGTTCAAGTAAACAATGGTCAAAACTTAGCTATTAAATCCATTGGCTGATGTAATGCATACTCTCAAACTAGTTCTTGCTTTTGTTCAAACTCAATTTAAAACTAGGATTAAAGTTGTACAGTCTGACTATGGTATGCATGCTACAGAAAACACTATATGGTCTTAAATAAGCACTAAGACAGTGATACGTCAAGCACTTTTTCACTTTTATTGTGTCCAAAAAAAGTATGACCATTCTCTATCCATATATTCTCGTTAAGGAGTTATTATGTATCCATTAAATTATGAAGATGACATTTTGATTATTGGTTCTTCTCATATGGTTCAGGAATTGTTGAATTGATCAAAAGACGAAATGGTGGTATCCATGGTTTTAAAAAACAGTGTTGGACGTGTCGCTGTTGCGTAAAGGTCTTCACGATTTCAGTTGGTACAGATGTCGCGATATTGATTGCAGTCGTCGTGGTGTGAATTAACCACAATTTTTTTTTTAATTTAAAAAAGACTAATAACTATATCAGTATCGGCGTCTGTCAAAAGCGTTTTGTCACGATATCCAAGATGGTCATTCAACATGTTTCTGCCACACTACAAATTGCCGACATATTGACTAAGTCTCTTGATAGCTCTGCTCTTCGTAATCTCAGGACAAAACATAAAGTAGTTGTTCATCCACCTTAGTTTTTTGGGGGAGTATATAACATTTATTTTCTCTTATACAGTTTTTGACTTAAATTAAAGATTCACATTATTGAACTTCAATATCCTCTCTTACCATCTCTTCCACTTTGATTGCTTAGTTTTTTAAAAGTAATATTTTCTTTACTAGACATAAAATACCGAAGCTATATATAGATTTTGAACATGCAGAAAAAAATAGAAGTTCATTTGAGAAAACAAAATGGCGTACCTCTTCGTATAATAGTAGCAAAAGTCCGCCAAGATGAAAGACTGAATGATTTCTGATAAAAAAGCTGCCAACATCCAGAAATAGCCGTAGCCGATGAAATATAGATATTTCCCTCGCGTATCGTATGTCTGCAAAAGATTAAAAAAATTGCACATCATTATTCAAGTATAAAGATAAATGATATTTGAGAAAATATATAAAAAATTAAGAAATCTCACATGAATAATCCAATAAGCTAGTGCAAAGAATCTTGAGACACCGAGTGCAAATACATAATATCCGGTGAATGTTTCAACAATCTGAAAACATATATGTTAGAATTACACAATATATAAAACCCATAAGGATTAAAGAAGTTATAGACTTATAGTAGAACAAAAATTATAGAACAAAGTTTAAATCTTTCAAACCTTTGCTTTCTGCATAAAACGAAGTTGAGGAAGAATCGAAATAGTTTCCAAATACACAGAGAATGCCCAAAGAACTCTAGCTATCCAGATATGCTTTGTATATGGATGTACTAATATTGCCAAAATTGTAGAAGGCACCACCTTTTACACAAACAATACCAAATCAAAATGTTGTTAAACTATGATATAAAATTATACAACAAAGAAATACATACCAGAAAGGATAACCACATGTTGTCAAACTCCTTAATATAAGATGACTTCAACTTGAATCTTATCAACCAAATAACAAGTAATGTTGATAAGAGAAATATCAGATCCAGCACAGTGTGGATGTTAGCCTCCATATAGATACTGCAACCTAATCTTGTTGTTAGGAATAATGCCGTGAGCTCTTGACTCTTGAGCGATAAACCTAAAAGTATAAAATGTGTTAGAAGATATAGAAATATTACTCAAACACACAAATGTGAGGTTCAAATAATAGTATCCTATGAAGTCAGGAGTGTGCAGACTCCTGACACTAGATATTGAAACACGATACAGACACTCAAAAAATATGTGATACCGACACCTCTCCGTGAGAGACTGTGATATCAGATTTTAGATTTTCAGAACCCTTTGATCTAAAATTGGAGGTTTTGATTAAAAAAAATTGAATAGATGCATGCATTGATTAGTGCAGCAGATCCTGATCCTTAGATTTCACTTATGTCATTTGTACATGTAAATCTTAGCCTTATATCTCTCTATGATGTTTTATCCTTTTCATTATAATTTTAATTTGAAAAACTTATAAAACAACAACTAAATAGGAATAAAAAATTTCTGCTACCACATATAAAAAGCATTGGAGGAACTAATTATATAAATTTAAACCAAAAATTAAACTAAATAACTATGAATAATTTAATTGATTAGACTATCAATGATGAGAAATTAAGAAACTTACCAGAGCAAGTCTTGTGAGCAAAGAGCTTGTAAATGAGAACAATAAGGCCAACAATATGAACTGTTTCAGAAGCTTTGAAGAAAAAATCTGAATCTGTGATAGTAAACTTTAAAACCACCAAAGCACAAAAAGCAAGCAATGTCCCTAAAAGGATCTTCACTTTCATTGATCTCTTCCTCAACCATTGAGACAAAACATTCACAGGTGAATCTCTCTTTGTTCCCATTTTTTTAATCCAAAACTAAAATTTTTCAGAAACTAAACTGTGAATTTTTTTCTTGAGTTTGTATTTGTATATATAATCGCAGGATTTTAGAAGGATAAATAGTTGTTGACACCAGGATAACATGCATTGGATGGTGTTACGTTTGTGATAAATGGTTTATGAAAAGAACAAAAAGCAAATATGGAGTGTTTTGACGTGGGCACTGTTTTGGCAGAAAAATAATATTATTTTTCTATATGAAGCAAAAGGAAAATATTTTCTTTAAATGACTTAATTAGTATATTTATCGTATCAAATATTTGTCATTTAATAAAGAGTTTCTATAAAAGATACTCCCTCTCTCCAAAAAAATTACAAGATGTTTTGAAAAAAGATTTATTTTAGATTATAAGTTATTTTATAATTTTATAATATATCTTTAAATATTTATTATAAATTATTTTTTAACTCTTTTTATTTTTCGATGTAATATAAGGGATATAATTAAAAAGTTGTATATAATTTGTGTTTTCCATAAAATAATAATTAGTATTTTTAATTGGTAAGAAATGTCCAAACTACCTTATATTTTGAGACGGAGGGAGTAAAAATGTATAAAATAAAAATGTATAAAATAAAAATGTTTAAATATTTTAAATATGTAGCGTCAAATAGAATCGGTTCAACCTTTGATCTTATAATTTTCTTTTTATAAATTTTAATAAATTATTATACTTTTTCTGTTTTATATATATATATATATATATATATATATATATATATATATATATATATATATATATATATATATATATATATATATATATATATATATATATATATATATATTATATTTTAAATATTGACTAATGTTTCAGTCGACCCGCGACTATGAGGTATTGTCTACTTTGGATGTGAGAATCCTCACGGCTTTGTCTTTTAAAAAAACGTCGTGTTGGGTTGAGGTGTATGAGTGTTGTGTATAAACCATCATTACTCGTGATTTCCAAGCAAAATGAGACTATTTTGGCAAGTAGTGCCTCTCAATTGAGGCTATCAGCACAATGCAAACTTTAAGTTCCAACAAAAGACACCAATGTTCTAGTCGACCTCATCATGCATATGCCACTGCGACTACAAGGTATTGTCCTCTTTGAGTGTGAAAATCCTCACAGCTTTGTCCTTTTAAAAAAAACCTTCTTATTGAGTTGAGATTTATGTGTATTGTATATAAACTATCCTTAGCCTTGTTTTTCAAGTAATGTGGTACTATTTTGGTCATCCCAAAACAATATTGTTCCTGACCATTAGCAAAAGGCCCAAGAGCGAGCCTTAAACGCAACACTAGCACAATAGGTCGACCTTTGCTTGGTCAGAAGCAGACAATACCATACATCAATGTATCAATCACCGTCTAATTTAATTAGATGACCATTTACACAATACATTACATCACACCACACGTGAATGGTTTCAACCACTCTTAGTTTATAAGGAGGAAGTGTGTCATTTCAGGTATTCAATTCCACTATCACTCTCACATTACTTCTTATTTTTCAATGAATTTGACGTTGTATTGCTAACCTTATAGGTCAACCCTTTCTCCTTCAAACTAGAAATTTGCTCCACCGATCCAAGATATAATCTCAACGTTTCAACAAACATTCTAATTCCGTAACAAAACAAGAACACCGTATGTTGTAACACCCCAAATTTAATTAGAATATTTTAATTTATTTATTTAATTGAGAGGTTTTCAGTGCTTTTGTGGATTATTAGGAATTATGCATTTTTGGATTATTTATTTGATTAATAGTATACCATATGAAAATATTGGTGTTATTATTACTTAAAATAAATATAAGTGAAATAAGAGTAGTTTGGGCATTAAGAGGAGTTGTTAGTAAGGGTGTTATGGGAAAAACCCAATTGTGTGGCCCAAGACTAGGTTTGACAAAAAGGAAAATTGTGATGGAATTAAGATTCATTTGTTAGACCGTGAAGAGAATTGAGGCCAGAGCTCTGAGGATGGAGAATTGGAGGCAAAAGCTTCGAAAGGTTCCCTAAAAGATTTAAGAAGGCTTTGATCGATAATTAAGGTATGGGGAGTATTGTCTTTCATGATTTTCCATGTGTGACTTTCAATGTATTTAAGGTCGATTTAAGGATTTTGAGGGTGAATATGAGAAGTAATGATCTTTGGCCTTCGTGGCCTAGATCTATTATTGTGATTTTGACCGTAGGGATTTATTTGGGAAAAAGGAAGATTAGGCCTTTATGGCCAAAACTCTGATTTAACATTGGTCTAACCCTGTAGGGAAATTTGATAGTGAGAACTCTGATGATTGTGGTGAAGAGGTGAGTATTCCTGAGAGTTAGAGCGTGGATATGAGAAATAGTGATCTTTGGCCTTCGTGGCCTAAATCGATTATTGGTGAATCTAACCGTGGAATTCATTGGGAAAAGGAAAGTTAAGCCTTCTTGGCCAAAACCATGAATTGTTATTTGTCTAACCCTGTAGGGATAAGACTATTGGATAGTGAGTCACTTATGTCGTTGGGGTAATTGTAGGGAAATTTGTGATTTAGGGAGTGAATATGATGTGAGATTGGCCTAATCAACCATAGGTTTTGTGTCTTTATCACCGTAGGACCTTAGGGATGATTTTGGGATGTTGTGGGGGCATTGGGGAAGTGAATCGTGTAGACTTTTGGGTGGTTTTAGGTTCTGGTGCGTAGCAGAATTTGTTGTCATCGCATTATTCGCCTAGCGAATAAAGCTTCACCTAGCGAACCATATTGTTCCTAGACTCGCATAGCGAAGAAACTCGCCCCAGACTCACCTAGCGAACATACCAGCGAATGTAGCAGAGTTTCGCGAATGTTAATCGTGTGCAGCGATGCTTTGATGTTTGATTCTGTGATTTTTGTGAGAAATTAGCCTGAGTATAAATGGGAATTTCATGGGATTAGTATGCGATAATATGAGGATTTCTGCGAGTATAATTATGAATTAATATGTGATAATATGTGATAATATGGTGAATTAATATGAGTATGATTGTGAGCGCTATGTGATTTGTACATGATTATATGATGAGTTTCTATGATGTATGATGATGATTATTATGATGAATTATGATGACATGATGTATGATTATTATGATGAATTATGATGACATGATGTATGATGATGATTATTGTGATGAGCTATGATGACATGATGTAGATGATTATTATGATGAATTATGATGACATGATGTATGATGATGATTATTATGATGAGATATGATGACATGACGTACGATGATGATTATGATGATGAGCTATGACGTTGATGATGATGAATATGATGAATGATGATGCAACTATGATGTTATTATGAGGATGATTTGTGACGTGTGCATCATGCATTCATGTGCATCCGGACTTTGGTTCAGGACCTCGATTACTTTGGCTTCAATCGCACTGTGTGGATGTGAAATATTTTGATGTGCTCCGATTCTCTAGTAGAATCGGTCCTATTGATGAGGATCTATGGAGGGTTGATGACCCAGTGTCCATCGCCTTGTGATGATTGGTACCACATGCATTGAGTCTATGTTGCATTTGCATTTATGGGTCTTTTGTATGATTTATGACGTTGTGGCCTTTGAGGCATATTGAAGGATATGAATGTGTTGAATATGATTATGATGCCATTTATATGTTGATTTTTATACATTGATTATTATGAATCATTTTACTCACCCTGCCTGTTTGAATGTTACCTCCACGTGGGTAACGTGCAGATGACCAGGTTTAGCCGTGGACACCGTCGAGGATGTTTTTGAAGTTTTTGAGTTGTTAGCCTTTTTGGTTAGCTTAGAGGGTCTTGCTCTGATATGTAACATCGGGTTGGGTTCCTTTGAGTTAAACTATGTTTTACTTTGATTTTATTTTGATTATCTTCCCTGATGAGGAAAACCTTGATTTATGCCCTTGAGTTCCGCTGTTTTGTGCAATTTGATGTATTTTAAGAAAACCCGTTATTTACGGAGCCTTGACCTATTTTTGAGGATTTGAGAAATGTACGCCCCTTTGAGGTGGCTTTTATTGAGTTTAATATTTTACTCTGATATATGTGAAAAATGTTCCTTTTAATCGTGGGGTAGAAAAGGGTGTTACATCTATCATAATCAACTTCCTATTCTTGCAATTTTGCACACTCATATTTCTTCTAATCCAAAGATCTAGATCGCCAATTCTTTTCTTGATTTTTATAGTTGAACTGCCTCTTTTAATAGATCTATCATGACATGCATGATAACGTCCAAAGTCACTTGATCTACCACTCAACAAGTTGTTATTGCAGACACTAAAATTGTCAAAAATCCGTCTTTTCCCACTCTAGTGGAAGACGATTCAGTTCTGGTAGCGTCTCTGTTTAACCATACGCAACAAGAACTCTTTCCTCTAAGAGTCAGACAAGGAACATTCCATGTTCTCATATTCTTTAGATCTACACAATAAATTCACCAAGATGAACCATCACATCAACCTCTTTCACTACCTGTAGTATACCTCAAAATAAAATGCTCTCAGTTCTTTAGCTATTACAAGCAAACCTTGAAGTACAGGCAACCACCGACCTATTGAACAATGTTTATAAACTAGTGCACTAGAAGAACATATAATCCTTGACAAACAGACTATTAAGAATTGAAGAAAGCATGTAACACGCTACATCATAGGACATGAAGCGATCCCGAGACAATCAAGTTTTCATACCAGAATTGGCCTTTATTGGAACAGTTGCACCAGATGAGAGACCCCAAGATCACCAGCATGCAACGGGCATCAAAGACATATAATTCCACTATCTAATCCTGAAGAGGAAAGCGACACCCATACTCCTCTTAAGGTTCTTCGTTCTCATTATTCACCAACGCACTATCCCTAAAGAAGGGAAAGATACGAAGAAGATGATTCATATCCAAAGTTAAAAAGGAACTTATTGTCTGTATGAATCCTCGAAACCAA